ATTGGTGAAAGATGAATATTGAATACTGTCATTTTCATTTCTGTTTACATTCTTGGTATAGCTGTACTTTTCCACAGTTATACCTTCATCGGAATTCTTTCTGAAATCCCTTGGGTATAGTCATTCCTTTCTTCAGCTCTTTGTATTGCTTCAGGACCTCTCTGAAGGGCTGGTTTTGTGGACATGAATTCCTTCAGCCTATTTATGTCATGGAAGACTTTTCTTTCCCCTTCAACTATAATAGACATTTTGGCTGGGTATAGTAATCTGGGTTGGCATCTATGGTCATTTAAAACTGGGAATGCTTTGGTCCAGGCTCTGGCTTTCATAGTTTGCACTGAAAAGTCAGCTGTGATCCTAATGGGTTTTCCTTTATATATGACTTGTTGTTTCTCTTTTGCAGCTTTCAGAATTGTCTCTTTGTTTTGTACGTGTAGTGTTTTTACTATGATGTGCCATGGAGAGTCTCTTTTCTGGTCCTGTCCGTTTGGTGTTCTATATGCTTCTTGTATTTGTATGGGCATGTCTTTCTTTAATTTTTGAAAATTTTCTTCCACGATTCTGTTGAAGATCTGGTCCATGCCATTATCTTGGGATTCCTTTCCTCCCTGTATGCCTATGTTTCGTAAGTTTGGTCTTTTTATGGTGTCACACAATTCCTGCATATTCCATTCTTGTGCTTTCTTAAATTTTTCATAATCTTCGCTTGGTCTAGTTCGTCCACTTTATCTTCCAGTCTTGATATTCTTTTTTCCATTTCATTCATTCTATTGGCAAGGCTTTCTCCTGTTGTTTCTAATTGGCTCATTGAGTGTTTCACTTCCTTCTTCATTTCAGCCTGAGTAGTCTTCAAAATTTCTAGCTCTTTTCTGAATTCATTCAGAAGTTTATCCCTATCTTCCTTCAGTTCTTTGATTTCTTTGCTTGTGTGGTCTTTAAATTCACTGAATTCTTTTATCATGTTTATAATTGTTCTTTTGAATTCCATGTCTTGTGTTATCTCTCGGGGGTTCTCATTATACT